TGCATAGATCTACTCCTTCCCGTCGCCAGACTGTCGGGTCTCCTTCGCCGCCCATCTTCCCCTCGATCAACACCAGAGAGAACCCAAAACCCAAAACGGAAGGTTAGAATCCTAGAATAGCTCTTAAACCGAAACGATAAAAAGATAACATGCAAGGGTAGAAGTCGCTTACCGCCGACGTGGGGAACTTCCAGATCATCTTCGTTTTGTGGTCTACAAAGGGGTTTCTGCTTGTCGTCACACTCCTGGGGATCTCGCTCGAGTTTCATCAGAAGGAGAGGGTAGGTAGGGTAGGCAGATCGAGGGATAGAAGAAGAGAAGCCGTCCTTTCCATCTCCCTCGTCGATTTCGAAAGAAAAGGCTAGGATTCTTCGATTTTTGACGGGTTTTCGTTTCTGGGCGAGAGAGGAGAGAACGAGAGGTTGAAGGCGGCCGATTTAGGGTTAGGACGCTGCAAAAATGATTTTATACCTCTAGAGTCTAAATGACATAATTGCCCCTAGGGTTTCGTTGCAATTACACACCCCTGCCACTGCGTTTTTGAATAATTACAAAACTACCCTCCCTCCGTCTCTTAAACAAAACGAGAATCTAAAAATAAATGCTGTTGGAGAGGTTTCGAACCCGCGTCCTCAGGTGCGAAGACGCTCCGACTGGTGACCAAGCCAGTTGGGCTGCTGGCCCATCATTTGTTACTTTGATCATCCCGCTTACTTTTCTTTATTTAAAATTCTTAATACGAAATGTTGAACGCGGATTAAGTTTATCTTGCCTCTTTTCCAATACATCAAAATACTTCCCAATGACTAAAATCCTTGCAATAATCAATTTAAATTTTATTAACAAAGTTATAATACGATATTTACGTCTAGTGGGACGTGATAAAATTACACCCAAGACGATCAAAGTCAAGAACCACGATCGGTGGAACGTGGTTAAGATTACATTTTAAATCATCAAAGTCACTAACGAACTACGTGGACTTTGATCCTGTCTAACGGGTACGTAGGCAACCGATAAGGTTCGAGTCCAACTAACCAATTAACTTTATCTTTTACGTCAGTGGGCGTACAATTAAATTACAACTAATACGATTAAATCATTAAATGGTCCAGTGGGACCTTAAATTACAAAAATATTATTAAAATACACCCAACTCATATAAAAACTTATCGACTTAAGTAGTACCGATTTAGGGCGTTGTGGGGTGTGATTTCACTTCCCCACACGTAACCGTACTCCCGCACCCATATCTCTTAACCGCAGACCATATCTCGGTTCTGGCCCTAAGGCTAGAGCCGATCAAAGAGTGTTCGATCCACTCCAAGTAAGATCGATGGCGACTCCCAAAAATGCCGACGCGACGACATACGGACCCCCCGGAGGGACGGTTGCGACAGTGATAACAGAGGTAAGAGCAAAGCAGAAGGCGTACTCACTCCGCCCCCAGGGGAGAAGACAGGGAGTAGACCAACAGGGCAGGGAGAGAACATGACTGAGATTAGAGGGAAACGAAGGGACTGAGACAGCAGAAAGAAATCAAGGAATCACAAGATGAAGGAAACCAAGGGTCCTCCAAGATTGTAGGAAGACGAAATGTCACCACTAAAAAGGGAGTGATAGAACAGAGATGCTCTCCAGAGACAGAGAAAAAACCAATGGAAAGTCGGTCTGCGAATCGTACAGTTTGAAGACATGACCTTTCAACCATTAAAGTTTTTATCACACGTTATGTATAACGTTAACTTGCGATTTATTGAGATGACTTGGTACTTTAAGATTAGTAGCTAGGTATTTGATGACTTCAACTTGTAAGGCAATTGCGATATATTGGGAAGAAAGGAAGAGGAAACAAAGTTTTGGGTAGTGCATAGTAATTAAGGGGTCGTTTGGAAGTTGCGATTGTTAAATAGATGTATTGTTGAGAATGCATGTATAATATTATACATGTATTATCGAATTTGATGCATTGTAGAATACAACGTTTGGTATGTGTGATTGTGTATGTCGCATCAGCTAAAAGCTGAGACAAAACAATCTCAACTCAACTATCTCAACAATCACAACTAAAAGTTGAGATATAACAATCGCTCAAAATGAGAAGTGAAAAACAACAATGGGAAATCCAGAGAGGGCCTTAACTACTATCTCTGTGGCCGCAGATGTGCATATCGCGCCTTGCTGGAGATCTTAAGGCCCTTCAAATTAGGTGATTGTGAGATAATCCAAGTTTCACATTAACGCAATTAGTACAAGGTCGTTTGGAAAGGAACTCAAGAGTAAATTCGTGCAGGTTTGGTTCAAAGCGGACAATATTGAGCTATCCAATTTTGGCAAGTGAAATAAGAGTTTGGTTCGGTTTTGATTCGAGGTGGTGGGCGTTGGTTTGGTGGACCCTCATTAGATGACTGCGAGATTTGAGATCCGCGTTTGTTTGGTGAATCAAGAGATATTCACGTTTGTCTGGCAGATCAAAGGAGATTTGCATTTGAGGAGAGGATTGTTATGGTACAATCCAAGTACACATCGAAAATACAAGGAAAAAGACCCTTGTATATTAGGGTCCACCTAGAGCAATTAGTAATAGGCCATTTGGGGAGGATACCAAAAGTTAATTCATGTGGGCTGGTCCAAAGGGGACAATATCATACTAATGGAACTATTAAGTCTCAACAAGTGGTATCAGAGCCTGGATTAGAATGCGGATCCAGGACGATGGGTGTCAGTTTGGTGAAACCCTCATTGGGTGACCTCATGATTTGAGATTTGCTTATGTTTGGAAGATCAAAGGAGATCTGTGTCTGTCTAGCATATCAATGGGGATATACATTTGGTAAATCCTTTTGTCGAGGAAAGTGTTGACTGATCAATAATCGCTAAGGAGAGGACACGAAGTTCGTGGTTCTTATCTTGAGAGGAGGATTGTTGTGAGGCAATTCAAGTACCACATCGAAAAAAAAAAGGAGGTTAATTGCAAGGATGGTCACTGGGTTTACTAAAATCGTTCATGTTTGGTCACTGCAAATATTTAATTCCATTCATGGTCACTAAGATTAGTTCAGTAGTTCAAATTTGGTCACTCTCCGTTAGTTTTTGCTGATGTTGCAGTCAACTATTATAGTTGACCGTTAAATGAGTGACGTGACCATTAAAAAAATAATAAAATAATAAAATTTAAATATTTACAATTTCCACCTCATTTTACAACTATTAAAAATAAAAATAAAACTTACCTCCCTACACACTCGCTCCTCCATCTCCGCCACCGTCCGATCCCAACAAAATTCCCCGCCGCCACCGCCGTCCCAGTCCCAATCCTCGACTCTCGACTCGCAGATCCCGTTGAGCACCTCTTGAATCCCGACGATCCGCCTGCTCGCTCTTCCTCCTCGCCTCCCTCACCGTTGGATCGAACCCGGGGACGGCGTCCAGCCTCAGCAGCAGCCGCATCAGCTCCTCGTTCACCCTCGCCTTCTCCCTCTCCTCCCTCCTCACCGCGTCCACCGTCTCCTGCCGCTGGATCCGCCGCTCTATCTCCCCTGACTCGGCGTCCACGGCCGAGATCGTGCGGTAAAGCAGGGGGATTGCGCGGGCGTGGTACGCCGCCTGGATTTTGGTCGCACCGGCGGAGGCGGATCTGGTGTCAGTGGATGGTGGTTTGGTGGAGTGGATGGGAATTTGCTTGGTCAACGGCGTCAGCGGTTGGGTGGCTTCATCGTGGAAGGCGTAGGTGACGGTGGATGTTGTTGAGGAGGAGAAGTGGTAGAATTCTGGGATTCCTCTCATGGCGAGAGAGGAAAGATTGAGAATAGGGACAGAGGAGGGGAAATGGACAGTTGTGATGGAAAATTGAGGGAATGGTCACTATTGATTTCTGGGAGGAGCGGAGTGTGTAAGGAGGTAAGTTTTATTTTTATTTTAATAGTTGTAAAATGAGGTGGAAATTGCAAATATTTAAATTTTATTATTTTATTATTTTTTAATGGCCACGTCACTCATTTAACGGTCAACTATAATAGTTGACTGCCACATCAGCAAAAACTAACGGAGACTAACGGAGAGTGACCAAACTTGAACTATTGAACTAATCTTAGTGACCATGAATGGAATTAAATATTTTCAGTGACCAAACATGAACGGTTTTAGTAAACCCAGTAGCCATCCTTGCAATTAACCCAAAAAAAAGCCTTTTATATACGTGTTCATCTAGTCCAAATTAGTACGAAATCTTTTAGAGAATATACTTAAAATTAAATCCGTACGAGGTTAACTAGAAAAACAATATCGAGACTGGATTGCTCCATTAGTAAGATATATTCGCAGAGTCAATGGACCAGACATTTAGGATCGATCTTATTAACAATGAACAAGCTGGGCTTGAACACTGGACTGGTTTCATACTCCATCTAGTTATCCCGTACGCAAGTCAAGTGGTAGACCGTGGTGCCCACCCACTTCCAAAACGGGCCTCTCCCTCTCGTATCCGATGTGTTCGTTGTGGGGCCGCCGTCGACCCGAGTACGTTGTCTGTCAGCCTGTCAGAGAGCTTTCTGTTCGTTTGTAAATTGTAACTCTCTCAATAGATACAGTCGTGCCCGTACGTACGTATGAAAGGTCGAAGAAGAGATTGAGCATGGGAACATTGCTGAAGCACATACCCTTCCCGTCATCCCCCAAAACTGCAGTGTTCGACTCATGTTCTGCTTTGCTGGGCTGGGCCTTGTACTTACCACGCGAAAAGGAATGGGACTCGGGGTAACATAAATTCTTCCAGCTGTAACTGCAACGCCGCCCATTCATGTTTTGAGTCTTTTGACAAAACAAAGACGAGCGAAATCATGATCATTTTTAAGTGGACAACTATTCAGTTATTTGTTACTGTAGTTTGTTACCTTTACACTTCGTCCAACAAATTAATACCATCCACTTCCAGCGTACATGGCAGCCAAATAGACTTACTAATCTTAGATAGCCCCAAATGGAGGACCTCTCAGGGATACCAACTTCAACATGGCGTCCAGGCGCTCATTCTCTATCTTCTCCCTCAGTTCTAACTTCTGGGTTTCAGGGATTTGCTGTACAAAAGAGATTCCCACAAGGCAATTAGTTCACCTGACGAAACCAAAACAATTAACTACTATAACTAGACATTTTGTTACCTTTGTCAACCATAACATGTAAGATGCTGAACAAATTGCTTGTTCTTCAAAATCTTCAAACTCATCATCACTTCCTTCCGAGCATGAATTGACGAGGAGCAACTCCTTATCCAAAAACACACTGACGTTCACTTGGATGCTAGATTGGCTTTTTTGTGAGGAAGACACATCGTTGACATCGCTTGTGAAATGTCTTATCCATAATAAGGAGAGAAAGCGACGGTAGAGCCATAGAGCCTGTGAACAAAAAGGGATTTGGGGTGGGAGTTAGCTTTGGAGGAAACTCAGGTTACAATGGAAAGAAAGTGATCAGAAACAATTCCACAACTACTTTAATTTGCAGAACGCAGTAATCGATTTTCATGTTTGTCAAGATCCCCTATATTCACATATTTTAAATGGGCTTGAGAAAAATACCTCCCTTCCTAAATAACGCTTTATTAATTCTTCATTCCAGTCAAGCTCCTCCTGATAGAAACAGCAGCATCAGAGTTATTAACTCACAAATTGTGCAATCTCGATTAATTGCAAAAGAGTTAATAAATGATGGCAGTGAATATGAAAGTTCAGACATTATACCTGCCAGATCAGATAAACTTCAACACAAGAATCACAAGACCCCTCTTCTTGCTTACGGCAGCAATCCTCTAAAATTCTGATGATTAGCCGCTGCAATTAGGTGATAACTCAAACTGTGACAAGATGCTAGAAATGTCATGGAATGAATACTCGTAAAATTATACATAGCTTTCTCTCATGAACTCTCTTTTAAATGTTCAAGGATTGTACTCACCATGCGATAATGAAAGCAAGAATGATCAGCAACATGTAACCCAGCCCACATTTTGGATTGATCAGCAACAGCAGCGATGATTCCATGCACGATAGTTCATCTTTGATCTCTGCATAGATAGCAAGGCAAAAAAAGTTTAGAGTAGCGGTCAATAGCACACACGCCCAAGAATTAGTAAATCAGAGTTGTGTTCAAAGCCACTAGTATGGAGTGAAAAATGAAAGTCTAACAATACATGCATACACCTAGTCATGTCTGGAAAGATCCCACAATCAAACATGAAATTAATAAACTTCAAAGATAATGCTTTCATTTCCCCCTTTTCTTTTCCAATTTTTAAAATTTCGTAATGCAATTGTCACGGAAATAGTATGCTTCTTTAGTATTAGAAGTTGTTAAACCTTCATGAATCACTATTATGCAGTTCTTGAAATTAATATAAACCTCTGCTATCTTCTCCACCAGGTCAGATTCTTCCCTCAGAATCTCTTGCAAAGTTGTACGATTTTTGGCCATATTCTTGATCACCCACCTCCTGCCAAAAAGCGAAGGAAAAATGCATAGAACAAGTTAACAACTCATGCAGTTCAGCAGATAAACAACACAGGAAGAGAATCAACTAGTACTTCATAGATATTACCTATGGCTCCATGCTTGCTCGCTCTTGGGTGAATACGAAAGGACAAGGGCAGACAAGCGGAGCTTGTCAGTGAACATTTACGCTTGTGTCTTCTTCGATACAATTAACTTTCTGCCATTTGCATCAAGAACAGTCATTCATAAAAATAAAATAAAAACAAGAACAGAGGGGCACATTGGGCATAAACAAGCTGCAACTAGAGGGTTTAAAACACAGGTGCGAATCTACCATTTCCGGATCATAATGATTCAAATCAACCAGACCCGTATAAATATAGAAAATTTCAAATTGGTTACCTGGAATTCCAAGCAGTCCCGAAATCAGGGCTTAACAACACAAGTGCTTTGTTGCAATTCATAACCACAATTCAATTCCTAGAGCTTCAGCAGAAGGAAGAGATAGGTCGCCGAGTTTCTTGTATTCTGCAATTGCATTCATGAATTGTTCTCTGGCAGCCTTGTACAACCGGAGAACAACCTCCGAAGAAATGCCCAGTTTGTGATCTCGAATCCAGAAGCTCCCATCTCCACCATCCAGCGCATCCGAGGCTTCCGATCGTGAGCTACCAGCTTCAGGATCTTTCTCCTATGTTGCAAATTGCGAAGGGTGAATGAACCCTACTTCGTTGCTGAGCACGAAGGAGCACCAAAGCAGCCGGAAAAAAAAAATTGAACATAGGGTTGAGCGAATAAATTGAACGAAGGGGAAACTTCCTAAATCGAATTTGATGACGGTGCTTACACGAGGGGATCGGAATCGAGAATGTATTCGAATTGATTCAACAATTCCGACATGGCTTCATTCTGAATAGTACCTTCAGGCTTCATTCATCATTACGAGCTTCATTCATTCATCATAGGGTTTTCACGACAATCATTAGTGAGACTGGAGTTAGTTACACTACGGCAACAGGGAAGATCGATGGCTCTGATGAACGTTGGGAAAGATGGGAAAAGGTAATTGACTCTTTGTCTATTGTGAAGTTTTGTATGTTTATTATTTTAAACTTTGAATTGATTCAAATATTATTATTTTTTTGTAGTCGGATAGAGTGGCTAAGAGCATTAGGAAGTATGGTTGCCCGGAGTATCCAAAACTTTGCATTGTCTATGGGGATACTACCGCTACTGGAAACGATGCACTACCTTCTACACGGGAGATTATAGACAGCAGCAGTGAGGATCATAGCAAGGAGAAAGTTTCTGAAAGTAATATGGATAAGACAACTGAACTAGCAAAGGAATTGAAGGGCAAAGCAAATTCTAAAGGGAAAAAGAGAAAAGCAGTTAGATCAACCTTCTCTTCTACCATAGAGAAGGCAATAGTTGACATGGCTGATTTGGCAAAAATGAAGAATGAGATGCGTATGGCTTCTCAAGCCAACTCTTCTATTAGAGGTCCAGTGAATGAAGTAACTTCACCAGATAAGGATTTAGATATCATGACTGAATGCATGAAGGTTTTGGATGATTTGGATGTGGATGCTGATATTTTTGTGAAGGCTTTAGATATTTTACATGACCAGCCATTAAAAAGAGGGCTTTTCTTACGCATGACGGAGAAGAGAAGGATGGAGTGTTAGGAAGTTTGGTTTGATGTTTGCTAACGTTTGCTTGAAAAGAGGGCTTCATTTGATGATGATGTGTTTTAGAGTTCAAGTTTGAGTATTTACGTTTGCTGTATGTTTTATGGAGCTTTGTTTATTTCATGTATCTGTGGCCATTTTATGGTTACTAAACAGGGTTATGTGAGCTTGTATTTTGGATTAAGTTTGTTTAAGTGTTTGTTTGATCAAGTATTATGTATTTGAAGTTTGTTTGTGCATTTTCTAATTCGAATATATTATCTATGCGTAAACGGAATGGCAAATTCTGATACAGATTCTGATGATGAGATGAATAGAAATCTGATAATATATTTGGCATTGTTGGAGAATGAGAGATTGAATTTGCCTAAAGAACCATGTAGAAACTCAAAATTGCCAGGACATCAATGGGTTCAAGAAATTTTGCGTGGTGATCCGATTAGGATATATGAAGAAATACGAACTTATAAAGAAACATGTATTGCTTTATGCGATGAATTGAAACAACAAGGATTGTTGGAATCTACCAAGAGAGTCATTGTTGAAGAACAAGTGGCAATCTTCCTACGAACTTTAGTTCATGCCATAGACTTTCAAGATGGTGCTGAAAGGTTTCAGCACTCTACAGCCACCATCTCTAAGTACTTCGGTAAAGTATTGAAAGCAGTAGTGAAGCTTTCAAACAAGTACATTGTTCCCCCAAATTTCGATAAAGTTCCTGAAAAAATAGTTGGTTCAAAATATGAACCATATTTTGAGGTAAATTAGGTTACTTTCCTTTATAGTTGGTTCAACAATTTTATATCATGTTCATCTAACATTATCTATTTTGTAACTTAGAGCTGCATTGGGGCAATAGATGGAGTGCATATTGATGCATCTATTCCAACCAGCGAGCAAATACCATTCCGAGGGCGAAAGACAACAACTACTCAGAATGTGATGGTTGCATGTTCTTTCGACATGCTTTTCACCTATGTAATGGCAGGGGGGGATGAGTTCAGGTCCTTAAGACTAGAAACTTAAGAAGAATCTTAAGTGATTTCTATTGGCTGAAAGTATTTAAGGTAGTTAATACTTGCTTAATGGTTACGGGGTAGTTAAGGATAATTATGGTATTAGAGTATTATTAAATTAATTACTGGAGAGAGTGGCCGGATTTTAAGGAGTTCATTATGTTAGGTTTTTTATTTTATTTTTTTCAATACTTTTATCCTGCGTGTCTCTAATACTGCAGCCGACTGTGGCGGTCGAGTAATCTCGAGCTGCTGATGGACGGGGAAGTGGAGAAGGAAAGGAGGGAGGCATAAAGAATGGGAGAATATTCCTCCGGCGCATCAATATTAGGCACTACCATAATTAAAGTTTGGACTAGAATTATCAACATTTTAACATGATGTTGCCAACGACAAAGTAATCGACGAATGATAATTGCTTATCATTTAAATTATTAATAATCCATCCAATTTTATTAACAATATTCCCTCCCCACCAGTAGTTAAATTAGTCAATCTCTCATGATTTGTTTGGAATTTAGCCAAAATTTTGAGGTTCAGATTGAGAGGCTAAGAATTGTGAATTGTGGATGGATAAATTAATGATAGCTTGTGTTAGATGTATTTTTTATGTTAAATATTAACAAATTTGTTTTTTTTTTTGAACGAAATCAAACATTGTTTTTAATAATTTAATTTTTTTTACACTTATCATTGAAGAATAATGATTTTGTATTGAGTTTCAACAAAATACAAATTCATGATCAATGAATTGCATAATTTTTATTACAATTTTCAATATCAGTATTAATAACATGTTGCAATTTTTTAATATTGAAGCAAATCATTGTTAACATTTTTTTTTTAGTTTTGACCAGAATCCTAACATTGAAAACAGTCATCCTAGTTAAAAAAATATTTTGCAAATGAATGATAATGTTATTAAAAATGTTAATGATTATGTTTGTCATTTCAAGGATAGACTATAAGCATTATTATTTTTGTAAGGAGTTATTAATAACACATAGTATGGTTAATAACCATTAAATCCCATCACTATTAACGTGTTTTCTTTGCATTTGAAAGAGACATATCTTAGTTATTAATAATTTGCAATGTCGCTATTAACGGTTGGAGTCATTTTTTAATGTTAATGTTTTGTTTTATTTTCGAATGAATATGAAAGTTTTGGATGATATTTGGTACTTAACATTGAGTGCTGACATTATTAATGTTTTGATGCTTATTTTCAATGAAATACAATTCTGTTATCAATCAATTGAGTATCAATTATTTTGTTTGCTTTTAGCTTTTAATAGTTTTTATGTCTTTATCAATATTTCGAGAAGAAAATTATTAATAATATGCACTATGGTATTATTCATTTAGATGCAATCATTATCAATGATTTTGCTTGTATTTTTAACGCCAACACAACTTAGTTATTAATGATTAAGGGTGTCATTATCAATGTTTTGATGTAAACATTTATAATATTAATAATAATTAATAATACATTTATTATCAATAATAATTAATAATACATTAACAAATGTTAATAATAACATTTCAAATATTAATAATGATATTAAAAGTCGATATAGAAAAGGAAAGTGGGCAATTTTTATTTTAAAATTCCCTTTTTAA